TGTATAGAGCCAAAGATGTTAGAATTGTGTTGATGTCCCAATATTTCTGGACCTGACTGTAAGATATACTTTGTACATTTTAGAAGCTCTCACTTCAAACTAATTATAACAAAAATGGAGAGTAAGTGGACCTCCAGAGGTTATTGAACTGGAACTTCAAACAGCCCTTCCCATTGACCATGTTGAATGAGGTTGCTTGGAATTATCCTTCAATGACATAGGCAGGACCATAGGTTCTTCACTTAGGGCAATCAGGCCAAAATAGGTAGTAACAGGTAACTGAGTAGCTTTCCAAATCAAGGCTCCTAGAGAGTATCTCTTTGTGTAGAATGACCTTCCCTGATTTGGTGATTATCAGATGTATTGGGACTTGAATTTCAGAATGCTATGTTGATATTGATTCTAACAGTGAACATATTATATAAAAATATTCTAAATAAAATTGCTGATCATGATAATTTAGAATTATGTGATCAAGGATGCAGTCGCACAATGTAGCTGTCTGGCAACTCTGAGAAACATTACTTTTTGAAGAATATATAAGCATGTTATCTGTGAGAAGATTTCAAAGTCTGTAAACTATATCAAAGTATAATGATAATGAAATTATTAGGGGGAAGATTTTTTAAGTCTGTAAGCCTGTGATGCAATACATTGTCAAATTTGGTAGTATTCTAAAATGTGTAATTTTACATATTGCAAATCAGAAAACTTTATGGTCACAATGTAAATTCTCTGTAAGATAACATGATCTGTAGCTAATTTAATATATAATTATTTTGCTTTGGTTTTTGGTTTTTTGTGGATACTTATTTCATGCTGTTAGCCTGCTGAGGCTTCAAGTGATGTGGTCAACCTTGGTCAGACTGTACGTATTCAGCCAGGACCTGAAGACCAGGACCGAGAATTACCTGACTGGAGTGAGAAAATAGCTCATGGCATCTTATCAGGTACTCTCAGACTTGGAAATAAACATCAGCCTTCAGATACTATATGTTGCAAATTTCCAAGTATGGCCAGTGCATCTGTACAGTACTGGGTTGAGTAAGTCTGCATTGATGCTTAGCTTAATCTCTTGTGCTATTATGCATATATATATATGTGTGTGTGTGTGTTACCTAAAACCATAATAGCTAATAAACAATTGAACGCATCCAATTTTTAGTAAACCCATGTTATATTCCTATAAAAAGAAATTCCAGCCAAGCATGATTTGTGTTCATTATTCTATTAGATGCAAAGATGGTTAAAATAATCAATAGATATGTTTAAAAAAATTGAATAGTTGGCTTCCAGGTTTTCACTTCAGTCCCATCTTGTCGGTGGAAATATCATTTGAGAGTAAGATTTATTTTAATAGATTTGTAACCATTAGTTGTATTGCAACCTGCTTCTTTAGCTGCTTACAGGTTTGGCTGAAGAAAAATTAATGTGTAGTATGAACACCTTCCCTAAAAATTCTCTTGGGCTAATTTTCATGAGCTGAAACTCAAGTTTGATTCTAACATACCAGTGTGGCTCTGAGGCAGGAAGAAAGTTAGCATAGTTAGCATAGGTAGTCCTCCCTTAACGTCCATTTGTTTAGCAGCCATTTGACAACACTGAACAGAGGGACTTTTGACCAGTCCTTGAAGTTTTGGCTGTTGCAGTGCCCCTGTGGTCACATGAACAAAATTCAGGCCCACCCACATTTATGACTGCCTTTTGGCCACCCGCCTACCTGCTGCCACCAGCTGCCCCCACTGCCCGGCCCTGCCCTCTGTTGCGCCCGCTCTAGCGTGCGCCACTACTGTGCTGACTTCTTTCGTGCCAGTACAGCTGGAGCATCTCTTGTGCCCCACCCAGGGCCTCCACATGCCAACCAGCTAGAAGACCCCTTCTTTTGCATGACAGGCTTCTTTTGTGAATAAAGGCCCTGGCTGATGTGCAAGAGAAGCCCTGGCTGCACCAGTGTGAAAGAAGGTGGTATGAAAGAAGGCCCAAACTGGTACAGTAGTGGCATGTGGTGCAGTGGTGGGGGCAGCTGGCAGCAGTGGGTAGGCAGGTGGCCAAAAGGACAGAGATGGGGAGGTAGTCAAGTGGGGGGATTTCAAGAGGAGACAGTGGAGGCAATCTCTTACCTTACTGAGGCTCAGGGCTGGGACGGACCAAGCCGGAAATGGCTTGGATCAGAGTGAGTCCTCGCCTAACAACCGCTGGGATTTGGTTAGTAACAGCAACAGGGACTGCCGGAATTGCCATTGCTAAGTCATGCAGACATGTGACATTGCACTTTATGACTGCATCGCTTACAATGGAAATTCCGGGCCCAATTACCGCCATTAACTGAGGACTACCTGTACTGGTGCAATTCTTATTTTAAAATTTGCATATTAAAATGTTTACAAATGGGTAGTAAAAGTTCTTTTTAAAAGATTACAAGTAAGCCAAAATAATTCCCTGACAGATCAATGACTAAAAACCAAGTGTAATCTAAAACAAGATCTTTATCTAGAAGATGCTCAATTCTGTCAGATCTCTAGGAATTGCTGGTGCAGAAATTATACAACACGACTTAGAAACAATCCTATGCCTGTTTTCATTTTGCAGAGAGATTTCTTGAGTGACCTTGTGACCATGACATTTGGGGATGGAGGAGGCTATATGGATCTCTCAAATATAGTATTTGAATAATAAAAGCTTTGATTTGAGTTAAGAGGAACAAAATGCTGTCCTAAGGGCTAATTCTTGATAATGCTACTGCATAAATATTGTTTGATGTTTTCATAAAGGAGCATCCTGGTTGAGCTGGGGTCTAGTCAAAGGAGCAGAATACACTGGAAAAGCCATCCATAAAGGAGCCTCTAAATTAAGAGAACACATTCAGCCAGAAGAAAAACCTTTGGAGGTCAGCCCAACTGTAGCAAAGGGACTACATGTAGCAAGGCAAGCTACAGGGGGAGCGGTCAAAGTCAGTCAGTTCTTGGGTAAGACACGGAAATCCAATTTCCTTGGAAAAGTCATGAGTTGTTTAGCATGGTTTATATGTTTCTTATGCTTTATAGTTTCATATTTTTTGTCCTTAACTATTTATAAATATTAAGAAAAAAATTTAAAGAGTTGAGCGCATTGGACCATAGGTCTTCTATACCTCCATCAAGTGACTATCATGTGAGCTTCCACTGATAAACTAGACATTTTTAATCTCATTACTAATTGTTTCAAACCATTTTATGCTTCATGTTTATAACCATTATGTTGCTTACAAACATACCACTAAGCATATTTTAGCACATGTTCATTCTTTTCTTCTCCTCAAATGAATGTTGTAATCAGGTACTCCACAATTTCTTTGCATCAGCCTTACGAGGTCAGCTGTGAGAGATTGTGATTATCCAATGAGCTCCATGGCTAAGAAGAATATAATTTGAAGGGGTTGGCATATCCAACAGTTGGCTTAATCATGTCATAAAGATCTGGCTCACATAGTTCAATAAGCTATAATGTGATGTGCCTTGGGGGTGGTATTTGGAAAAAGTGCAAAATTTCCATTAGCTTGAAGGCAGCATTCTGAGTGCTGCAATGCAAATAGTAGGTAGGTCCAGGCCCCCAGTTTTGGGGGGTGTTCTTAGAGAGTGAAATAGAGCTTAAGCTTCTGCTAATTTGCTCTTTAACCCATCAATATTAAAAAAAAACAAAAAACCCAGACACACTATTTAGTCCTACCCAGTCTGGAGGGCTTTATGGGCCTCAAAAGAAGTGCTGACAGGGTCCACTTTTTGCACCCTTGCTTTATGGCTTACTGAAGTTTATATATTTGGTCAGCTGTGACTTTTGACCAAACCATGACTAACAAAAGCATAGCTTAATGTGATGGGGAAACCCATCTATTATATGGTAAAATCTTGACAGCAATTTTTAAGTAATTTGCTCTATTTACAGAAGTGCTAAGCTTCAGTGTAGCCTCCAGTAATCCATGATTTATCATCTAAGAAAACTTGCCCTCAAATTGTTGTAGTCCAGATTATATTATGTTGACTAATATATGTTCCTTTGCCTGGTGGTCTCCAGGTGTATTGAACTTCAACTCCTATAATTCATAATCAGTGCATCCCTTGGTAGAAGTTGAAGTCCATCTGGTTTATAAGTAGCTCTGACCCTATAAGTAATTCAAATAATTGAGTCTACTTTGACTGTGAGTTGGTCTTGTCATCAACTACTTGAACAAATATGATCTCTGTATGTAATGAAGCTTGGGAAACTACAGTGGTTTAAAATCAAACTGTTAAATCTAATCTGCAGCTAGGCTTTTATTTATTTAAAATATTTATAATTCACTTTTCTGCTTAAAATGCCTTTTTAAGATAGTTGCCTTTCAGAAGCCTTAGTAATCTGGGTTGCATTATGAATCAATGGGGATAAATATCTGCTGAAATGTCACCGTTTCTGTTGCTGCTTCTGTTGAATAAAAACATTGAAAGAAATGGCACTGAACCTAAATATGTTTATAAGGCTTGACTGAACACAATACTGAATGGATCAAGTATGTATCGAAAAATGTCAATTTCAGTAGTGCTTTCTCTTTTAGTTGAAGGTGTTTGTTCCATAGCAAGTTGTGTTGGAAGAGAGTTAGCCCCTCATGTGAAGAAACATGGAAGCAAGCTGGTTCCAGAATCCCTTAAGAAAGACAAAGATGGAAAATCAACTTTGGATGGTGCTCTAGTTGTAGCAGCAAGTGGAGTTCAAGGTAACAAAATTAACATGGCTCTCTGTCAATGCATTTTAACTTAATTTTTTATATATTAGTTATCTTCTGGTTCTAAGAAGTTTATTTCTGCAGGGTTTTCGACAATATGGCAAGGTTTGGAATGTGCTGCAAAATGCATTGCTAAAAGTGTGTCTAAAGAGACAGTTCAGACTGTCAAGTACAAGTAAGTTATTTTTTTTCCCTGTTCTGTGATAAATGATATATGAATGTTAGGGAATTACGACTGTATAAAAATGCTTTGTTTCTATTGAACTTTAATTACCCATGATGGTGGTGCCATGTATTTAAAAATATAGTTTTCCCAATTATATACAAATAATAAGTAAAAAGGCTTTGTTGCTGAAGAAGCTTTCTGTTTAGTAGTCCTGTCCCCAAATACCACTTTTCTCCTATGCCAGAAATATCATGAACTGAAACAAAAATCCTTCAGTAGAGCCTCTCTATGTAATACACTGTAGATAAAGGGAGAATTTAGTCTCCATGCCTTTTTATTTAAAATTGGACCCCCCAGCCCTTTTCTATATCATTAAAAGTATTTTTAGTTATAACCATGATGCTACCTATCATGTAAAAGTCATGAAGACAGAACAGGTAACATCTAGTATTACACTGTGTTCTCTGTGTAAACTGTTTCCATGCTGAAAATATTTCCCTTCTTTGTTTGGTTTTCCCCATCACAAATGGGGATTACTACCAGCCATATTCCTTTTGAATATTGAATGTATATCAAATCTATAGAGGAAAATGAATGTGTGTGTGTTTATATGCTTACATGTTTATATGCTTTGACTACATATATTAATTTCCTTAATTTCTAAAAGAGATGCAAAAATGTTAGCAATAGCTGATGTTTTTTTAATTGAGCTTCTCACAAGTGGTAGTAATTCATGAAATAGATATCTCTGGTAACTAAAGAATGGCCTGAAAAGAGATGTTGTACAAAACATTAAGTCAAGCTTCTGAACAGCCATTATCACAGCTTTCAGACTCCATCAAATCTTATGTTTGGTTGATAAGAGTTTGTGTCATGTGATGAGGCAAAAAAGTTATAAACTGGGGCAGGAGGGCTCCCTTTGAAGGTATATTATGCCAAATTTTTAATTGTAAGCCACCCAGAGTCACCCTCTGGGGAGATGGGTGGCATATAAATTTAATAATTAATAAATAAATAAAAATTATTAAGCTCTATGTTATGTGCTGAAGTTTAAAAGTTTTTTTGGGCTGATCAAAAAGCAGAGTAGG